AAACAAGGATTTTGCAATTAAGCTCCGCCCCTCGGCTTACAACGAATAAAGAAATAATCGTCAGAATTGAGATAGGGCGGGTGGGCGGGGTTTATATTTTGCCTTTTTTTTCTTAACATACATAGCCTTCTTTTCACAACAAGAAACTAAAAAACATGGTTAAAATGGTACATTTTTACGAGGAAATATGGATTTTGCAATTACGGGGCGGAACCTAATTGCAGAATCAAAAACAATAAGGACAGATATAAGCCCGCCCACCCGCCCTGTCTCAATTGTGATGATTTTTTCTTATTCGCCATGAACGGAAAGGGCGGAGCTTAACTGCAAAATACTTATTTTTTTATAGGAAATTAAAAACATATTCTTGAGTATTGTATTGTTGAAATCCTATGTATATTAAGAAAAAAAAAAAAAATTACACCCGCCCACCCACCCCATCTCAATTGTGGTCATTTTCTTATTCTTAGAAACATAGAACACGTTTAAAATGGTAAATTTTTGTAAAGAAATATGGATTTTGCAATTAGGCTCCGCCTCTAGGTCTGGCAACGAATACAAACTTCATTACTATTCAGGTCAGGGCAGGTATGGATGGGGTTTAATCTTCGGCTTTAATTTTTTCTTAAATTACATAGTATTCTTAGAATAGCACGAAACTCAAAAACATGTTTTTATTTCTTGTAAAGAAATAAGGATTTTGCAGTTAAGCACCGCTCCTCGGCTTACGACGAATAAAAAAAAATCATCAGAATTGAGACAGGGCGGGTGGGCGGGGCTTATGCTTTGTCTTTTTTTCTTAACAGACATAGCCTTCTTTTCACAACACGAAACTTAAAACATGGTTAAAATGGTACATTTTTACAAGGAAATATGGAATTTGCAATTATGGGGCGGAGCCTACCTAATTGCAGAATCAAAAACAAAAAGGCAAGATATTAGCCTGCTCCCCCCCGCCCTGTCTCAATTGTGATGATTTTTTCTTATTCGCCGTGAACCAAGGGGGCGGAGCTTAACTGCAAAATACTTATTTCTTTCCAGGAAATTAAAAACATGTTCTTGAGTATTGTGTTAGTCAAATACTATGTAGGTATATTAAGAAAAAAAGGCAAAATATAAACCCAAGCCACTCACCCCATCTCAACTGTGATGATTTTCTTATTCTTAGAAACTTAAAATAGTTTCAAATGGTAAATTTTTGTAAGGAAATATGGATTTCACAATTAGGCTCCGCCCCTAGGTTTGCCAACGAATACAAATTTCATTACTATTTAAATGGGGGCAGGTATGGATGGGGTTTAATCTTTGGCTTTAATTTATTCTTAATATACATAATATTCTTAGAATAACACAATACTCAAAAACATGTTTTCATTTCTTGTAGAGAAATAAGGATTTTGCAGTTAAGCACCGTCCCTCGGCTTACGACGAATAAAAAAAATCATCAGAATTGAGACAGGGCGGGTGGGCGGGGCTTATATTTTGCCTTTTTTTTGTCTTAACATACATAGCCTTCTTTTCCCAACAAGAAACTTTAAAATATGGTTAAAATGGTACATTTTTGTAAGGAAATATGAATTCTGCGATTATAGAGCGGAGCCTAATTGCAGAATCAACAACAATAAGAAAAGATATAAGCCCGCCCACCCTCCCCGTCTCAATTGTGATAATTTTTTCTTATTGGCTGTGAAGCAAAGGGGCGGAGCTTAACTGCAAAAAACATATTTCTTTACAGGAAATTAAAACATATTCTTGAGTAGGTGTCGTGTTGTTCAAATACTATGTATATTAAGAAACAAAATCAAAATATAATGGAATATGGATTTTACAATTAGGCTCCGCCCCTGAGTCTGGCAACGAATACAAACTTGATTATTATTTAAATGAGAGCAGGTATGGATGGGGTTTAATTTTTGTTTTTTTACGACGAATAAAAAAAAATCATCAGAATTGAGAGAGGGTGGGTGCGGGGGGCTTATATTTTTCCTTTTTTTTTCTTAATATACATAGCCTTCTTTTCACAACAAGAAACTTAAAACATGGTTAAAATTGTACATTTTTGCAAGGAAATATGGATTTTGCAATTATGGGGCGGAACCTAAGTAATTACAAAATCGATACTTCCTTATACAAATAACTTGAAAATTCTTGAACAGAAGTCTTTACATCTCATACTATTTTTCATTTTTCCATTGGAGGAATCTAAACCTGTAGAAGTAGGTATATAGGGTGAATCACTAAACGCCAGCTCCTCGATATCTCATTAATTATTATTAGAAATAAAAAAAAATCAAAGACTTTAAGTTGTACAAACCCATACACCAAAATTATTTTCAACTAACTATACAGAGTGTTGTGTTTTTAAGGCGTAACACACAACTTAATTTTATAAGATACGACTGATTTTGACACTTCTAACATTTTTAACCATTTTCGAAAATTAGCTAGACATTTTCTTGTAGATGTTGACATACAGAAATCATTTTCTACCAAAATCATCAGTTGAAATATAGCAATTTTTACAGTCGCAGTGGCAAATAGTAAGAATAACAAAAAATTTACGATTGGCGCTTTTTTTACTTTTTTTACGTCCTAGATTCTATTACTTTCCACTCCCACTTCATAGAAGTGCATTATTAGCCCCGCCCACCCACCCTGCCTTCATTTTAGTGATTAATTTTATCCGGTCTGAATGAAATGAGTGATCATATACTGAGCAGAAATAAAATTAGTACTTAGAATGAGAAAACTGGGGGCGGGCGGGGTTAATACTTGCTAAGATAAAACTGATTTTGGCAAATGTCATTCCTTCCAAGAAATAGAGGGCGGGTGGGCGGGGCTAGTACTTGATAAGATAAGAGTGTTTTTGGCAAATGATTTATCTTCCAAGAAAATAAGGGCGGGTGGGCGGGGCTAGCATTTTCTACGATATGACTGATTTTGACAGTTTTGACATTTGTAATAATTTTCGAAATTAAGCTAAACATTTTCTTGTAGATTTCGACATCCAGATTCATTTTCGGAAATTCCCACCGTTTTTCCAGTGTCGCCATTGTGTTTTGTAGGAAATAGTTTATTCATTTTTCCCTTTATCACAGCCTACTTTCTATTACTTTCCACGGAAAAACACAGTTTCATATAGTATATTTTTACATATTCAGATTGATCTCTTCTTAGCCTTTATAACCACAGTCATTTTTGAAGTTTTCTTGAATTTTTCTAGCAATGGAAGGGTTTAATTAACAAAATTTTGTGGTACAATTACAATTTTCAGGTGTTGATATTTTAGTTTTTTTTTTTGAAATATTCAGAATAACCTATGTTTATACTGTATTTTGTTGTGTTTTGTTCTTTTTTACACTTAAAGTTCATAGTTATTGTGATTCAGAACACTCAAAGAAATAATCTCAGCAAAGCAGTCTAGGTTCTGCTGCATTAATAAGCCTCTAGACTTATTATTTAAAAAAACAAACTTTTAGAATGCGAGCGCAGCGAGCACATTCAGGCTGATGTCTCTCATTTTCAAGATTCACATTTTTAGACACTAAAAAATTGTCTCAGTAATAATAATTTTGCTTCCTAGGAAAACCGATGAACAATTTTGAATAACGCCTAAATTTGCTCGCTGCACTCGCATTTTGAATGTTCTTTTCTTTTCTATTAGATAGGTATAATAATTCTCGAGATCTCCTGTGAAGGTAAATTAACATTTAAAAGGCGAGCGTAGCGAGCATGTTTAATATGTTTCAGTTCCACATAAATTAGTGATCACAAATAGTCTTTGGACTCATATTTTTAACGAAAAAAAAAATGTTCTTAATAATTTAGCTTCTCAGGGACCACCAATAAATAAATTTTTAAATTATACCTAAACGTGCTCGCTGCGCTCGCATTCTTAATATTGTCGCCATAAGTGTGAGAAAACTTCTCTTTATTCACACTATCTACTCATATTTTGTGGTTTCTCACTGTAATCTTCGTTTTTACGCTAAAAGAAAACCAAAATTGACGCCTACACTTTTCATTTTTTGCACAAAATAAGTATTTTCATTTTTGAGTTCGAAGTTGTCGAAAAGCGGGCCGGATTATACAGGATGTCCCACTTATCGAAGCCGCAACATCTGCTCTAGGACAAATTTTAAAACCACCACAGCCTACTGTCATTTAAAAATCAATAATAATACAATGTGGCCCCAATATATGGAACAAATTGTGCTTAAATAGCTTAAATTATTATGAAAATATAGGGTTAAAAACTGTCACATTATTGCGACAACTTTATGCAAATTTTTTTCGAAAAATGAAACACAAAAGTCTACTAAAAGAGTGAATGAAAAACTAAAGCGTGCCCACTATGAAATATAGTTTCATAAAATATAACTATTTTCGAATGAAATAAATAGCTTTATTTATTATGAAGCTTCAAATATTTACCTTTCGTATCGAATTAAAATTTGATTTGGATTATTGGCAATTAGATACTTATTTATCTATTTTAAATTGCGATCACAACCCGCTGTTTATTAAAATAATAATAACAAGAGAGATACACAGGTAAATCAGAAAAAAATCAAATTAACACTGCAGCACATCCAATTTTTATTTTTACCAGAAAAAAATTAAATCGCCGTCTTCCTCGTTTGTCTATTATAGATAGTTTCAATGTGGATAAATTAATTCGCCCATAAAACATACGTTATTAATATTTGTGATATTTTTCTGTTCGAGATATTTAAGCAAATTTTAAAAGCTGTAGGCTTAGAACAATACAGAAATCTGTAGCCTCGAAAGCTAAATTGATTCTCTGGATTTTGGTTTGATAATGTAAAAACTTGTTTTGTTAATTTACGGTCTGAAACGGAGTTGTTTTATTCAGAGTTTTGAATCATTTTCGTTTAAATTTGTGTTCTGCGCAGCTAATAATATTAAAAACGAAATAATCTAAAAAGGTTTGAATTTAGTTTAGGCCAAATTTTTCGTCGTCGAATAAAACACAAACGTAATTGTTACGGGTATGTCACAAAGATGTGATTTATTCCTTTAATCTCAATAAATAATGTACATCCGTGCTTTCAACACATACAGTGGAGTAATAATACATCTACAATATATTACAAATAAATATGTACACCGGACACGTAAAATAATTCGCCTAAATAGTCCATAAACCGAAATAAATGCTTCAACTCGCTGAGGGAATGGTAAAAACTTTACATAGGAACCTAAATCGCACAAGACCATTCCTACCAGAACCCACAAAAAGATCGTCAATTACGCTATATCAATATCACAAGTAAATAAAAATCAGCTGCCATCAAGAAGAATTTCCCTACGAAACGACGGCTAGAGTTTCCTCACCAAATTCAAACATCAGTCTTTATAAACCGCTCTAAATACGCGTACCCTCAGTATTTCTGTCCCACACAGTCCTGCTGGTAGTAAGCGGCGGCCGTTCTATAATTAGGCGGACTGGGAGAAACGGCCGAATGTCGAAAACCCGCCAGCTGACAGCTGGGGGCGGCACTGCTGTCGAAGATCATCTCCCTGTACCCGGAGGCCGACTCGGGCGACGTTTCCGGGCTGTACCACGGGCTGTACCTGGGGGCGGCGTCGTCCCCTATGCTGTACTGGTGCTGCGGGGTGGCGCTCGGGCAGTAGTACATGCCGCCGGACGTGTGCAGCCGCCCCGAGTTCGCGTACGCGTGCTGCTCCCGACTCGTCATCAGCGAGTCCACGCTGAACGCCGCCCCCGAGTCCATCTGCAGCGACCCGGAGACGTCGCTCACCGGGTGTTCCTGCTGGACGATCACCGACTTCATGCACTGGTTCAACTCGGTGTTGGGCTCGCGCTTGGGCTTGAGGTCCACCTTCTTGGGTTCTTCCTTGGGGTCTTCGCGCTTGGTATCGATTTGTTGGCGTTTCAAAGCCTCCTCTTTCTCTCGGAGGGCGTCTTTTTTCTTGAAGCGGCGCCGACGGCGCAAGTAGGAGCCGTTATCGAACATGTTGTACGAGTCCGGGTCGAGGGTCCAGTACGACCCTTTCCCGGGCTTCTTGTCGTCCCGCGGGACCTTGACGAAGCACTCGTTGAGGGAGAGGTTGTGCCGGATGGAGTTCTGCCAGCCTTGCTTGTTCTCCCGGTAGTACGGGAAGCGCTCCATGATGAACTGGTAGATCCCGTTGAGGGTGATTTTGCGGTCCGGGGCGTTCTGGATGGCCATGGCGATGAGCGCGATGTAGGAGTAGGGGGGCTTGACCATGTCCTTGGCGGTGCTCAGCTGGTGCTGCTGGTGGTGCCATGCGGCGTAGCCGTAGCGCGAGTACTGCTCGTACGCGTAGGGGTTGGTGGCGGCGGCCGCCGTGTACCCGCCCCCGGGCCGATAATACGCATTCTGGTGCTCCGTGAAGATGGTGTGCATCGTAAACAAACCTCTTTTTCTAAAACGCAAACAGTCTTGTTATTTCAACACCACAGTGTTTTCGTTCGAATCAATCTTCCAAAAACAAGTTTGCGTTCACTTAATATTATGATACACAACATGGGGCAGTTTACACAAAGATTAAGTAAAAACAGAGTATGTTGCTTCGAGCCGAGACACAATGTTACTAGTGAAAACAGTGGCTAGGGAGCCGACGAATTAGCGAGGGGCGTGCGCAGGTCGCCACGCCCACCGACTCTACACCAATCGCGGCGCGCTCACGCCTCGAATCGATGCGGTGACCATCGGCGCGCACGCCCACTTGCCGATTTTTTGCGAGGTCGGCGTGAAGGACGTGGGAACGGCGAGAGCGCCCCAGAACGGGAGCTCTGTGTCAACATCGCCCCCTGGAGGCGGCGGCGGAGGGCATTTTTGTGAGGATGAACACAAACATGATGCATATCGCCGCGTTGTGTACCTTGGCAGCCGCCGGCGGAGGACGGACTTGTGCCAGAGAAAACAATCACTTGACGCCGGCATTCACATGGACCGACGCGAACTTCAGTTCAGTTCGCGAGCATGACCGACGAGTTCGATGGGAAGTGAAGGTGTGTGCTTGTGGTGACGAGGAGGTGGACCGGACGAGGCTGTTCGAGGTAGTTATGGCCAAGGTGGCGGTTATGTGGTAAACGGAGCGAAGGCGGCTTGTGGCGCCTCACGTGGTAGGGGAGGATGCAGCGACGTCATTGCACGGTTTGACATTTTTACGGCCGGATTATTGTGGAAAAAAATTCGCAAAAAGAGAGTAGAGGAAGGTGGCGCGACGCGACGGCTGCACAGTAATTACCTAACCAGAGTGTGTAGACCTTGGCAATGTCGCAAATTACGGTTAATTATGTGGCAATTTTCGTGATTTGAAAGTAATTTGGTGATTCATGGTGAACTTGCGGCCGTGGACACCAAAGCACTGGATTCGCGGCGGTGCTGCCACTTTGTTCAAAGCACCCGGAATTTTATCAGTTCTCTAGTTGCTTTTTTAAACCATAGTTTTTAGAGTAAACGGGCTTTTCGGTATTTAAAATTTACTTTTCCCATAAAAAAAATGTAATCTAGTCATCGTTGGAAAGGATTTGGCACATGACAAGATTAATTTATTCATTTTATTATCATAACGTTGGTATTGGGTCCTAGCCGAATGCGCTGCAGCCCCGTCTTGTTGCAAATAACCCTACCGTTTCATCGTCGTACAGTTGTAGTACAAAATCTAGCCAATTTGTTGCTAATATGGTCATTGAGTGAAATAAACAAATATTTAAAGTTCTAAGAGTAAAAAATCGGTTTATAAAGATTTCAATTTTTGACTTTTTTTTGGATGTCTGCACTTCCTCCATATAAGTACATACATAGACCTATTCTACGGCTCAAAAATTTTGTCCACTTAAAGAGATAAGAATTAAAATGAACTTTTGGTTATTGAAATAACAAAATACCCAAGCAATAAAAATTATGATCAAAGAGAGCTATAGTTTTTCGACAATTCATGGCTGCCTTTGATCGTGATTTTTATTGCGAGCTCTTTGCTTTCAATCAGAGCTAAACAATTTTTTTCTCTATAGTTACTAATTAGTTTTACAAACATTAAAAAAATCCTTATTTCGGAATTATTGAAAAAATTGAATAAATCGAGAATAGTCAACAGCAAAGCGCCACTTGGGACCGGCTATCATTTTCCCACCTTTTTTCAGTAAGAGAAAAATCAACCACAAATCGTTTGAAAACAGTCCAAATAAGATAAACATATATTTTCAATCAATTTTTTGTCACGTTTAAAGGAAACACAGAGTAACACAATTGGATAAACTTTTCCACTAAAAAACTCTATTTTTGCCCGCTAGAACTGTTTTCTTATTGGAAATTAATTCGAGCGGACGGTATTCAAGAAATTCCGCATTTGATTGGTCAACATTTTTTATCGTACCTAAACGATAAATAACAAAAATAAATTTTTATTTGTAATGCACGTAAAATAATAGGAATAAAAAATATGACGTGCCGACCGTACAAAGAACTAAGCGGCTGTAAAATCATTCAAAATATATCTAATGGATAAACTATGGAATTTGGCGTTCAGAATTTACAAAGTACAGCGTTCGTACACAATGCTAACATAAAATGTGGTACATAGTTATAAAGGCGGTTTCATAAACCACAAATATAAACGTATGCTATTTTATGAACTTTAAAAATAGCATCCAAGATTCTAAAATGAGTATCCACAGGTAAAAAAAATATAGGCCGACAGATGGAAACGGTAGACCCCTTTTTCATATTCTAGGGATAATCAAATCTCGCGAAAACATGAAATTAGCCGTTCGTCAAATGGACCTAGTCACAACTTAGGCTTGAAAAGTAAAAAAGCTTCTTCGAAAAATTATAAGATCTGATTTTGGGAAATATTATTTTTTTTGTGATGACACCTGCAAGTTTAAAATATACCGGGTGTAGAATCATTTTTGAATCAAAGGGATTTAACATGTAACAACTAATTATTTTAGAACAAAACGTTAAATACAAAAATTGTGGAGAATAAAAAACTGTACCTAAATCTATTTTTATTTATTTTGTAACTACTATGATAACCGTTCTTGGAAAAAAAATTAATTGATTTTTTTGAGGATTTTATGTCTTTTTTAGAAATTCCTAGTTTCATATGTTCACATGTGTCACAAACACTTTATTAGCCCCGCAACATCTTGTTTAAATATCAAAGACAAGAATAAAGTAAAGTCATTGAAAGCAAAGACAATTCCTTATTTTACTACCTATCCTACAAATGCTATTATAACTTTTTTTATTTTTTTTTACAGATTTGAAACTCCTTTCAAATTTATCGATAATTTATAGTTTGTTTCCATGAAAACATTTTCACATAGAAGTTCTGTATCTGTAAGTAAATTATTGGATCCGCGGCAACTAATTTTCTATTAAAAGAAGTAATAATAGGTTCAACTGGAAAATCGAAAGTGCAATATAAAAGTTCATTGATTAAATAATAAAACATCGAGACCATACAAATTTACCAAAATATCTAAAACTTCTAGGATTAATAAAAATCTGTAAATTCGTCAGACTGTCTGCTATTCGAGGATATTCAAGATATCTAGAAATTCTTAAACCATTAGGATGTCTGAAATTCACGAATATCTTCTTCTCAAAAATCGCCAGAATATAGAATTTTCTGAAAATTCTTAAATTAATAAAGTATCCCGATTCTCTCTTAATTCTCAAATTCTATTTGATGTCGAGAATCGTAACATCATCTAAAAATGTAATTATTTCTAGAATCAGCAGAGCCCCCAAGATCTTCAAATTTTCCTAAACACTTAAAATTTTCAAAATTATGAAGTTTGAAAATCCTTAAAATCCTATACTTAGGTAACCCCTAAAATTTCCAAAACTTGTAGTTTCTTTCATAAATTTCTATAATCTCTAAATCCTCCAAAGTTTGTTAAATTTATTAAATTCCTAAACTAAACATTTTGAAAATTTTATGGCAGATTTATAAACACAGGTTTTTCAATCGTGGACATTAAAAACGTAATTTCAGTGAAATTATCTTTTATTATCTTCATTTATGGTTGGATTCCATTATTCTGTTTCTTTTCTAAACCCTGCAATAAGGGTATTTAATCATTAAATCAAAATTATGGTGTCAAAAATGACAAGTCAAAACCGTCTACGATGTACCAAACTTTTTAATCAAAATAATTTTCATTAAAAAATCAGGTCTGATGGGTTTTCACGCTAACAAAAGTTAACATGGGGTCTAAAATTTAACATGGGAATCCCTATGGCCACTTTTAAAAAAGACGCACTGTATACTAGAATAGTACAAACTATAAAAATGAAAATTAATATTGACAATATTTCTAAAATTCTAGAATCTCGAAGATTTGTAAAATCTCTATACTGTCAGAAATTGCAACATATTCTGAATTTTTCAAACTTCTGGGAAAATCTTTAAAATTGCTAAATCTTCATATCTATTGTGATTTAGGAATCCGCCTTGATTTTTTACGTAACACTAGACACTAGGGGGCACCGAGGAAGATTTTTAAAGCTTCTCTTCGAAAAAAGACACTAGGAGACAGCGAGATTCTTTCACATTTTAGAAAAAAAAAACATTAGAGGCCTCCGAGATTCTTAAAGCTTCTTTCAAGAAAAAAACTCTAGGAGACCTCTAAATTCTTGAAGTTTCATTTAAACAGAAGATATTAGATTGTTTCTCTAAAAAACATTTCAAATTTTATGTTGTCGTAAACAGCAAAAAAATCCTTCCCTTTGAAGGTATAATACCTAAAGTCACTTAGGAAAGTCGCCCAAAATTAAAAAATACCCCAATTACCAAAAAGACGTAGGTACCTAACTACCTACCTATTATTTTTAATTTTCGATAAAATTGGAATAGATACTTGGGAAATTCTTGGTAGCAATTACTTTATGAAAACAAATTTCCAAAAAAGATTAGGTATTATCAAATTAAAAAAAAAAATCTTCCGTTGTATTTTCATAATAAGTAATAATGAAAATCCCAGAAACATTTTTCATTAATATTTATATACAAGAATTAGGACCATATAAATAATTATTTAAAATAAAGTGTTAAAATTAACACTTATGGTCCTAATTCTTGTATATAAATATTAATTAAAAATGTTTCTGGCATTTTCATTATTACCTACTTATTATGCTGTAAATAAAGCTTAATAAAAATAGATTTTACATAATATTAAAATTCAACTCAGTGTGGGAAGAAAAAGGTAAAATCTTTACATTATTTATTATTTCCAACGTTCATTCATCCCCTTCTGGAAATCGGTAAAATATGCTAAAAATTTGATGACGCCATTTTATTTAAGAATACCTATGGTAAATAAAAATAACCTCAGTCTGAGTCTGCGTTCTCTTTTAATGATTTCTTTCGGAGATAATTTCACTCTAATGTGAATACATTACACTCATTAAAAATCCCAAATTTGTCAGTTTGCAACCGGATAAAAGTTAGGATTCCTTTTCATTCTTAAATCAAATGATCTTTGAAACAAGTTTCTGTAATTTTTCTACTACTAAAGTTAAAATGAGTTGTTCTGGTAATGTTTCCCATGAAAATACCTATTAAGTAAGAATTAATATCTACCATTTCAAAAAACATAAGACTACGAAAAGCAGGATCTGGAGGTAATTTGAGGCAAAAACAAATACTTATAGATAAGTAATGCCATTAACAGCGTAAGGTGCTAAATGATATCCTGTAAATGTCTTTTGACAACCTATACATTTTCTTGTGTTTATTAGCACTAAAAACCTTAGATGCGTATGGCCACAAAGGCTTTCACTATTTAAATTTTATAAAATAACATACCCCTGGCCTTATAGTTCATGAATCCGTGTTGAGCTTTTACCCTGGACATCTAAATTTTTGGGAAAAAGCAAAATTGTAATGCTCTGAATCTTGCAGATGTTTTACGGTTATCGGAAACATGGTAAATCGTTTCTCAAAATTATTCGTTTATGCCCCCTCCCCGTAAAAAATGATGATTTTATCAATTTGCCGAAAAAAAATTAAATTTTGTAAAATAACATGCCTATTTTTTTTTAATTTATATAGAGGTCATCCCAAAAAAAAAATGAAAAGAAATGAAGCCGAAAATAACTTCTGGGAGTCGTACAACAAATGTCCATCTAATTTTCGAAAGTGCTTGAAAAAAGTGAGATTTTTGAAAAGCTGACAAAAATCTACAAAAACTCTTAGACCTCAACGTGCTAATTCGAAAATATAAAGAATTTATTGTTCCAGGACAATATTTTTTATATATTCGGTTGGAAAACCAAATTATTTAATAACCCTAATAATTGACAAATTTCAATTAGGGGTTCTGCAAAAATGGCAGGAATTTTCGAAGAAAGTAGCGTAAAATAACTCCAGGGGGTTGAATTCTTCAAAAAAATGTCTTTAGCTAATTTTCGAAGGTGTATGAAAAATGGTGAAAAATTTCTGAATAGGTAGGTATTGAAAATTGAGGTTTTGGAGAAATAGCCTAAAAGTCCATAAAAAATTCTGGCATATGGATCTCGACCTGCTGATTTGAAAAATATAGCGTGTTTATGGTTCCGATCAAGATTTTCAAAATACTTGTTTTTTCAAAATTCTACAATTTCTCATATTTCAATTGACGATTCTAGAATTATGGTTAGCACTTTATTGTCTAAATAATATCTAAAATTTTACAACACACTGTAAAAAATGAAGGTTTTACATAAGTAACTTTACACCTTGAATAGGACTGAAATTTACGTATTTTTGATGTAAATGCAAATTTAAATGTTATTTTGGGGAATTTTTTCCCTTCCAAAAAATTATGTTTATAGAAATTAATCAATCAATAAACAATCAATAAAAAAAAGTGGTCGAAGAACTTCCCACGCCCCTGAAGTATAGCCCAACAAATCCCGATTCTTTGAAAAATTATGACATTTTTTGAGATCTTTGTTTTCTGATAACCTCTATCAAGTTAAAACTAATGAAATAAATGACACTCCCGCAGTTTTTGTGACTCGAATTTTTCAGTTCTTCAATTTTTCATTTTTTTCGCTTCTTCAGTTCCAATTTTTCAAGCTTTCAAGTCTAAATTTTCAGGTTTTCAATTTGTCGATTTTTCAACTTTTACATTTTTTATTTTACGTTTTTCAATTTTGGATTTTCCAGTTTTTCGTTTATTTAATTTTTCATTCGCAATTTTGCTTGTTTTCACTTTAAATATGCCATAATTATTATAATTAAAAAAAAAAAATCAGTTCTGCAATTGTACAATGTTCGAATTTTTTCATTTTTTCAATGATTGGATTTTAAAACCTTTTCATTATTCGATTTTTAATTTTTCAATTTTCCGATCTCTCTGAGTTGCAGTTTTTCGCCTTTACAATATTTACGATTCTATAACTTTTCGTTTTTACAATTTTTGGCTTGTCCAGTTTTTCGATTCGATTCATTTTTTCTTCTTTTTTCGATTCATCAATTATTTTCATTTTTGAAGTTTCCCGATTTTTCGTTTCTTCAGCACTTCGATTTGAACTTTTTGAATTTTTTACTTGAAGAAACGAAAAATTAAAAATTTAGAGGAACTAAAAAATTGAGAAAAGTAAAGTTGCAAACACGAAAAAATGTGATATAGAAAATTTGGAAAATATACGAAACAGGAAAAACGGAAAAATGTGATAATAAAAAAATTGGTTGAAGGTAAATAAATCTACATTTTTCGAAAAATTATAGGGGAATATGATTCTTTTTGCGAATTGTATTTTCTATGATAATTAATTTAATAATAGTTGAAATAAAGATATGTACGTAATGTCTATGTGGATATATGCAATGTAATGCTTATAATAACAATATTGTATTCCCAAATTTTCGGGAAAAACCTTTACACGATTTCAGAGCATTCTGCAGTTTCAAAGTTAAACTGAAAAATGTTTTTATACATTTTTTTTACCAAAAATCTGGATGTTTACGGCACTGTCGGATTAAGGACACGGGGGTCCACCGGAAAATTTACAAAGTGGAGCCCTGCAGTATTATATACAGATGTTGTATGCGTATTATTACTATTATTATTTTCAGTTTCGCCGGCGACATTGGCGTTTTGAAAAAATTATGTTGTTTTTGGAATTTTGATGAAGCTACCAAGAAAAACAAAGCTATGGAAGTTTATTTTGATAGAACTTCCCTCGCCTTTGAAGTATAGTCCGACAAATTTCGATTCTTTAAAAAATTATAAAGTTAGACGCTCTCAATTTCTCAGTAAGTATATGCTTAACTTCGACTGTTTATGTTTATACTTCGACCGAATTCGACTTTTAGCATGTTCAGATTACTAGCATCAGCGGTTACAAGAAAATGAAATTTGGTTGATTTTGTGTAATTTTTTATTAAAAACCACTTTCACCACCGGTAAATTTACGACTTGATGACTTCCTCCAGGATTACGCCCGGAATGAGCCTTGTTATGATAAGCTCTCCACCGCCGAGATCGGCAAACCGCCCTGCACCAGACATGTCACGAATATTTATCTCTCCACAATGAGCAAACGAACGGTAGACGTAGTGGCTGCAGAAGACGCGGCTGAACAAACATCAGCTAGTTACTATAGACTGCATTATTGCTGAAGGATAAAACCATCAGTTAAGCCATCAATTTTATACACTCCCTTAAATCCTCATAGTTTTGTCGTCACATTTTTGTTTCGTTTTGTTCGACAGAAAAATGGGAAAATGGGAGAGCGCGTGCAATAACACTGGCTCTTTGTACCTAAGCCGGTGAAAGAACCCGGGCTAAATTGCCACTTTTTCGTTTTCGTATACCTACCTGACGAGTGTAGAAAATTTCTCACATATTCTAGTTAAAAATACGTCCGAAGACCCAACCAACAAATAAAAATCGAAATGTTCTCACAAATTCTAGATAAAAATTCGTCCAAGGACCCAACCAACAAATAAAAATCGAAATGTTTGCCTCCTTAATCACTATTTATCAAGTGCATTTCACACCTCTTTGTAAGCATCTTCTCCAGCACAGGTGGTCTCTAGTGCATACCAATCTCTCACTCGAAACCCCTCTCGAAAAGCTTATCCAGGTCCGGCAAAGTTATCTTAGGCTAGTTTGCTCAGATAACCTTTAGTTTACCTAATCCACGTGAAACACGCCGCTTTTCTAAACATTGGTTTAACACTACCGTGTCTGACCAATACTGAGATGTTTACCTTCAGTTTCAAGAGCTTAATTGTCCGACATTCAGAATTCGAAATCGGACCAGAATCGCTCGGAAAATGCATTTACGGGCTGAATAGGCTGAATGGAAGAATGGGAAGTTTAATTATAGCGAGGAAATGCCTGAAATAATATTTAGACAGACTTTCAGAAATATTTTCGGTGGCACATCGTCGTGGATTTATCAACAGTCGATTTTTTTCCATCAAGTAGTTCACAGTGATTCTGCATTCACTTATTTTAGGCAACTAATAACGTGAAACGTGAAAAAACCCCCTCTGAAAAATGCGTCGTAAGTACAAGTTAAAACAGGCGTTATAATTTGCGGTTAATAAGCAGTGTAGGGTAAGATGGGGGAATGGCGGTCAGTGGGCAATGCCGGTCACTGTCTGATATTTAACTTCCAGGAACATTTAAATAAAAATACAAGTGCTGCTACCTAGCGTATGTTCGAGTAACCTTATTTACGAAGCGCCACCATCTTGCGTCGCCTGCACTGTGCATGACGGCTGTTCATGTGTGAGGTTGTGTTTTCTTGTAAAAATCGAGAAATTTCAATCAGAGGTAAGTTTATAAAAACTTTATGCAAAAGGATATTGTTTCATTATTAGTTATTACGATTGTATTAGTACATAATGTGCCGGTTAGATTCATGAAAGCCAATTAAGTTTGGTAGTAAAGACCAAAGAAAACGTTTTAGTAGTTTTGGGGTTATGCCAATCACTCGAAGCGGGTAATGACGGTCACCGACTGGCATTACCCAATATAAAAATATAGGACAATTTTTACGTTTAGGTTGAAAGATTCTTGTATTGAAATAGTGGCTGATAATTGTCTTTATTCTTTAAGTAGATGCCGAGAAATAGACCTAGAACCACAACAAAAGCACAGTGGAGTAAAGAGGACTTAGAAAATGCCATACAAGCTGTACGTAATGGAGAGTCTATACGGAAAGCTTCCAAGAAGTTCAGCATACCCTTCAGTACATTACAAGAACGGATCAAGAAGAATCTTCCAATTACCGGACCTTCCCTAGGAAGGCATTCCACTTTCTCATCAGAAGAAGAAAAAAGTATGGCTGAGAACATAAAACTTTTAGCCAAATTATTTTATGGTCTAAATCCGCTCGAAGTTCGTCGTGCAGCTTATGTTTATGCTGAGAAACATAATATACAGCATAGGTTCAACAAGGTGAAGCAGCTGGCTGGAAAAGATTGGCTGTACGGTTTTTTAAAGAGAAATCCATCGATAACTATCCGGCAACCCGAGGCAACCAGTATTAATCGCGTAACAGCGTTCAATAAAGCGGAGGTGACATTGTTTTTCAAAAATTTAGAAGACATCATGGAAAAACATATGTTTACTGCCTCGAAAATATACAACATGGATGAGACCGGTATCAGCACCGTACAAGACCCTGGTACAATAATTGCCGAAAAGGGACAGAAAAGAGTTGGTTCAGTTACCAGCTATGAAAGGGGAAAAAATATAACTGTCATTTGCGCAGTGTCCGCTGCAGGGTCCTATATTCCTCCCATGTTTATTTATCCAAGAAAGAGGATGTCGCCTCAATTGTGCAAAGGTGGTCCAACGGAAGCTATTTACCATTGTTCTAAAAATGGCTGGACAAATCAAGCTTTATTTGTGATATGGCTTAAACACTTTGTAAAGTTTGCAAAACCATCTTCAGCTGAGCCTATTCTTCTTATTGTAGACAATCATTACAGCCACGTGTCATTGGAAGCATACATATTTTGTCGAGAAAACTTCATTGTTGTGCTCTCCATTCCGCCACACACCTCGCATAGAATGCAACCGTTAGATATTGCATTTTATGGGCCCTTGAAAACCGCCTTTCGGAAGGAGTGTGATTTGTTTATGAAAAGCCACGCTTTGCAAAAAATAACCCCGTACGATGTGGCTTCTATATTTAACAAAGCCTACTGTGACACAGCTACAATTCAGAAGGGGGTTTCTGGATTTAACGCGTCTGGAATTATGCCAATCGATCCTACCATTTTTGGAGAAGAAGATTTCCTGGCTTCAGACTATCTTTTGAGTACCTCAAACGACACTGTGACTGTCAGTAATGACTCCACAGCAAATCTTATACACCAGGATGAAGGAACACCTACTCCTGAGATCAATAACAATTTGCCAGGATCAAGCGCTCAAACACAGCCACTTCCAGGGCCTAGCAATATTTTAACGCCAAGTAAAACTATATTGTCTCCGTTGCCACTTCCAACAGCGACTAAAACTAGAAAACGGTCACATATGAAACAACACTCTGCCATCCTGACAGCATCACCTCTGAAAGCAGATTTAGAAAGCAAGGAAAAAAAGAAAAATGACAAACTGTCAAAAGACAACAAGAAAACTGACAAGAAAAAGACACACATCACCAATAAAAAAATAAAGCAACCCAAGAATATCAAGACATCAAAGATCGCATCACGACCCTCTTCTTCTTCAGATGAAGAAATTGTAGCTTCCAAAAGGAAGAAGAAAATGTATTCGAAATCTTCTACTTCAAGCTCAAACTCAACAGACGAACAGGATGTGGACAATATTTGCGACGACAACAGCGACGATGACATTTCTGTATCACATGAACAAGAAACATGTTTCATCTGTGAAGAGTTCGGAAAGAACGAGGTTTGGTATAGATGTCGATGTTGTGGGCAATGGGCCCATAAAGACTGTAGTGGTGCCGATGCTCCTGATGAATATATATGTGATTATTGTGACCGCAAACAGAGGGTTCGCAAGCGTCTTAATTAGTAACTTGTATGTATAAACTTCCGGTAATTTCTTTTTTTCTTTAAATAGACATTATATTACTATAAAAATATTGTTCTATGGGTTTTTTTTATTAACTGATTTATTTTGGAACCAAAGCTTATACTGTTTTCAACTGACCGTTATTACCCACAGTGGTGACTGCCATTTCCCGCAACATGCGGGCAATGGTGGTCAAGGAAAGGTTTTAAAAACGTATACAACTATGGCACACGCTAAAAAGTGTGGCAATTTATACCCTACAGGCATAAAGTAAACTAAATTAGCTATGTGAATGTCCAATTACTTTTGCGCAAAACCCTTTAGATAGAGAATTATTTGGAATTCCGCTTAAGTGACCGCCATTCCCCCATTTTACCCTAAACAAAGATTAGAAGATGTCGTGAGCTCGGGCTTGATTTGTAGCCGCTAAATGAGTACACGTGTCGCCGTAAATACGCTCAGCTCCTCTCCGGTGTCTTCCACATGATGAATGATTGTCCTGGAAGACTACAGACAAATTTTCTGGGCGTTCTTTGATAAAAACTTGTCACATGGTGCGGAATTGATGGGGCTATTAAAAAAAGGGAGACAAAAAACGGGCGATTTGGTTCAAAATTTAGCTCGCCTTTGAATAATTATATATTTTCATAATTATTTAAATAATCTTTGAAATTGTGATTTACGGCGACACATAAATTTCAAGATGAAGGGAGATGTGGAATTATTGACTTTGTATTGATGAATGAACAGGCGGAAATCATTCATTTTGCTCTTCATGAAGACTAGTAAACAGATCCGCATTTTTATTTACATTTAATTTATGGGGGTTTTTTAAGAATGAAAATTTTGCTTCGATACAATATTAGTAAAATCAAGTGTTTAGGAATTATGAAACCCGCAGTCAAGAGGCGGAGCAGTCCAACACCCCTAGCAGATAGTTTATTGTTTTTTACATATCTTTCAAAATTAAGTCCGCACAGCAACACGATAACGTCACTCCCACCTGCCCCTTCTCTCCTCGAATAAATAAAAATAAAAGTGATATATTTACATTAAGTACTTTTCTATTTGTATAACATTGCTCGTTGGCGAAGAGCACCGCTTGTTCCATTTCCAAGCTAGACGTTGACATCGTGCTCTAACCGATGCAGTTTGTTTCCTCTTTCTTCGACAAATACACAAACTGTCGAGAGATTCGTAGCATTATCATATTCGTTTCCAAAACAATTCCGAGTTTAACAACGAAACAAACACGCCCTAGATGCGGCCAAGACGAACTCATAATCAACCACGTTTTTAGATTTTACATGTAGCAGCTTTTGGCTTTTAGTGGATGTGCTTTATGTGATGTCCGGATATCCCGCTGGTTAACTTCTCGAATGTCTGCAGATGTTGTACGTCACTGTCATATCAAAGCCGGACAACTTCCACAGACCTCCCGTTGACACTTTTACACTACATTTGGACCGAGAGGCGGTGGATGTAATTCGATAGTGGCGGTTTTTTAGTTAGGTATTGGAAAAGAAGGTTTACTTGTTGTCTAAACAGCAAACTATGTTGTCAATATTCGGGTTGTTATTGTATAATCATGTTTCTTGTTGTGAAAAAAGTCTGCACATATTAAAACAAAAAGGCAAAATATTAACCCCGCCCACCCACCCCATCTCAATTGTGATTTTTTTTTTATTCTTAGAAACTCAGAACACGTTTAAAATGGTAAATTTTTTCGTAAAGAAATATGGATTTTGTAATTAGGCTCCGTACCCTTGGCTCACGACGAAAAAAAAAATCATCACAATTGAGACAGGGCGGGTGGGCGGGCATACATTTTGCCTTTTGAGGTTTATCTGATTATATAAGTACAATATACCTGTCGATAGTGTAAACTATAGTCCAGTTATACCCAAATATTTTTCTCCAGTGGAGAGATATATAGGTAATTTAATTTTTTCGATTTCATGAATAATTTTTATCATGGACAACAAAAATCAAAGCTGTAAAGTAAATACAGTCCATGTTTTTTTTCTCGATTTTTCCAAGGCTTTGATCGTGTCCCTAAATGTCGCTTATTGCATAAACAGTGTCGGATTTTGCCGCCGGGACACCAAAAAATTTCCCGGTGGGCCCTGAAAGAGCCTAGTTCTTTTTTTTATACAATTATTTATTTACATTTTTCATAATTGACACATAAAAATACTATATATTTAAATATTAAATAAGAGTATCTTTTCACAATCTAAACGCAGTACGAAACAATAAATCTCCCATTTCCGTCTGTCCGTCTGTCCGTCTGTCTGTCTGTCTGTCTGTCTGTCTCCCGTCTGTCCGGATTTTTTTAAACATTATTCTCCAAAACTATTGAACCAGTTGTCAAATTTTATACGTGGATTACTAATATCGTGTAGATTGTGAAACACTAATCAAAATTTGGCTAATCACACCTACCAACAATTTGTTGACGTCATTTCCAAAATTTACAATACTCCAGCACATATCAACCCCTGTTGAGTTTTTCATAGTTTTTAAATTAAACATCTAGATTTTTGTATAACATCTTGCAATTTATCTTCGAAACTGCAGAACAGAACGCTCTGAAATTCTGCAAATGTTTTAAGGTTACCTATAGTAAGTAAACAAGGTAAATCGTTAATGATTTTTTTTGGTCTACGGCCCCTAAAACAATATTTGTTATTTCAAATCCAATTCTCATCTGAGTGATTCGGTTTTAAGGATTGGATTGTCGGACGTTTTGGATGAAATTTCTAAAGTGAAATCAGTAGAAAGTAGAATAGTACGTTTCACCCCATATTTTTTTTCATCACTGTTTAAGCTATTTTGTAACCGTTTTTTCTTCTGAAATAAGAAATAAATTTTAGGATAAAAATCCAACAAAATAATTACGATTAGCGCTTTTTTGCAGCCTAATTTCAACCAGTTCCCACTCTCACTCTACAGAAGAACATATAACTTACCCCGCCCACCCACCCGCCTCCATTTCCTGCTTGAATTTATCTACTCTTAATGAAAGACGGATCTTATATAGAAATAAAATTAGTCGCTAAAATGAGAAAGGGAAGGGTGGGCGGGGCTAGTACTTGTTTAAGATAAGACTGATTTTGGCAAGTGATATACTCTCTAAGAAAATAGAGGGCGGGTGGGCGGAGCTATTGCTTGCTAATAGAAGACTCTGTAAAAAAAGTTAAAGTTAGCCCCACCCACCCACCCGTTCTCTCGTTTTTTTTTTCTTCTGAAATAAGAAATAAATTTTATGACAAAAAATACAGCAAAATAATTACAATTACCGCTTTTTTGCAGCCTAATTTGTATCAGTCCCCGCTCCCACTCTACGGAAGAAGATATAACTAGCCACGCCCACCCACCCGCCTCCATTTCGGTAATTAACTTTATCTAGTCTTAATGAAAGGCGGATTTTATATATAAATAAAATTAGTCGCTAAAACTAGAAGAGGGAGGGTGGGTGGGGCTGAAACTTGTTAAGATAAGACTGATTTTGGCAAGTGATATATTTTCTAAGAAAATAGAGGGCGGGTGGGGGCGGAGCTAGTACTTGTGATGATAAGACTAAACAATATTAAGGCTAGTAACTAGATTGAAGAGGGAGAGGGTGGGCGGATCTATTGCTTGCTAATAGAAGACTCTGTAGGAAAAAGTTAAACTTAGCCCCATCCACCCACCCGTTCTCTAATTGTTTTTTCTTTTCAAATGAGAAATAAATTTTATGACAAATAATACAACAAAAAAGTCACGCTTAGCGCTTTTTTACACCCTAATTTCTATTAGTTTCCACTCCCACTCTACAGAAGAAGATATAACTAACCCCGCCCACCCACCCGCCTTCATTTCGATGATAATTTTATCTACTCCGAATGAAAGGTGGATTTTATAGACAAATAAAATTAGTCGCTAAAATGAGAAGAGGGAGGGTGGGTGGGGTAGTACTTGTTAAGATAAGACTGATCTTGACAGATGATAAAGAGAAGGCGGGTGGGCGTGTCTAGTAATTTCTATGATAAGACTGAACAATATTAAAGGTATAATTAGAATGAAGAGGGAGAGGGAACTTTTTTTTGTTCTTTAATTTTTTTGTCTATTTTACGGTACTACATCATTTTTTAAGCAAGCAGGCCAGTTTTTTTTATAAAATAAAAAAATCAATTTTTTTTTGTTCGATTTTTTGATTTTCATATTGCTCGATTTCTCGACCTTTTGATTTACCGACTTCCGATTCTTCAAGTTTTCGATTTTAAACTTTTGGAGTTCTCGATTTTTCAGTTTTTTCGGTTTTGCAATTTTTCGATGTTTCACTGTTACGATTTTTCAATTTTTCAGTTCTACAATTCAATTTTAAAATGTTTTTTTTATCAGTCTATCAATTTTTCGATATTTCAGTTTTAGAATTTTTCACTATTTCGCTTCTTCAATTTTGGGATGTTTTTGATTTCTTTGTTTATCCAATTTTCAATTTTTTGATTTCCCAATTATTTGGTGTTTGAATTTTGTAGTTTTTCCAATTTTTCAACGTTGTAGTATTCGAGATTTTACAATTTGTCGATTTTTTCAATTTTTAAACTCTTCAATTTTTCAATTCCTCGATTTTAAATTTTTCTGTTTCTCGATTTCTCGTTTTTCAATTTTCAATTTTTAATTTGTCGATTTTGAGCTATTTGGATTTCTCGATTCTTCGACTTTTCGTTTTTTCGATTTCTCGATATTTCAATTTTTCGGTTTTTCAGAATTTCAGATTTAGGATTTTTCAATTTTTCGATTCTACAATTCTTCAAGAATTTTTAAATTTTTCGATTTATCAATTTTTCGAAATTTGGATTTTTCACTATTTCACTTTTCGAATTTTCGGTTTCTTAATTTGTCCAATTTTCGATTTTTCGATATTGTAAATTTTAAAACTTCAGATTTTTTGATAAATTTTCGAGTTTAAACTTTTAGAGTTCTCGATATTACAATTTTTCGATTTTTTACATTCTAGAATTTTCAGTTCTTTAATGTTTTGATTTCTCGTTCTTTCGATTGTTTGACTTCCGGGTTTTAAAT